AATAGATGACTTCTGTCACATTCTCCCATGAAGAAAAATATGTCTGTAGTCATGAGTGGACAAGAACAGTTTGCATTAAGAAAGAAATAATCGCCATGCATACATGCACCCATGCATATTGCGTAGACACAAGAAGACCTTTAAACAGCAGTAGCTACTGAATTCAATGAAAATTAATCCCTCAGTGAATCCTCTCAAAGATTTCTCCCTCTTTCCCTCTTTCTTCCCCCATTTTCCTTGGTAAAGAAGATTGCAGCCATGCTACCTCCATAGGTTTCATGCAGCACTGTGTCTTATTCTTTCTTTAGCTGGTTCATTCTTCGACTTCTTCTATCCTGGCCTGCCTGAATACAGTCAGCTTCTCTTCCTCTTGGTCATGATCATCCCACAGCTGAAACTCAAGGGCTTTTCAAACTGTATCCATATTGCCAACCAATCCAAATTTTTGAACTTCCAAAATTATTTATTCCTTCTCTTTTTCCTGCTTCTCTGTTCAGGCAAAATTCCACTACTCTTTTTTTCCCCCTGCTTATTTGTCTGGGTGTACCTATGTTGTTGTTCATCCATCGATTTCGATGAAGACCTTGACATCTTGTGGGTTATGGGCCATCAACGATGTGTCCGTAGGTGGCTAATAAGACTGATGTTAGCGCGGAATGTTCTGCCACATACTGAACAAAGAAATGTAGACACTGTTAATTCAGCATTTGCAGCTCTGGCTTTGCAGAGTGCTCGCTTTTCTTTTGCCAAGATTGTCCTTCTGTGTTCATATGTCTGGCAACCCCGGTACACCAAGGTGCGCCATGTCGGTCGATCATGTGCCAGAAGTTCCCAAGAGATGGTGTTAATATCCAGGGACTTAAGAGAAGCTTTTAACGTGTCTTTGTATCGCTTATTTTGTCTCCCGTGTGATCGCTTTCCTTGAGACAGCTCACCATAGAAGAGCTGTTTAGGGATGCGGTGATCTGGCATCCTTACAACATGGCCTGCCCAGCGCATCTGGGCTTTCATCAACAGAGTGTAAACTGATGATAGACCTGCTCTGGAGAGGACATCTGTGTCTGGTATCTTATCCTGCCACCGGATCCTCAGAATTCTACAAAGGCGAGTCATGTGGAAGTAGCTCAGTTGCCTAAAATGCCTCCTGTACACTGTCCAGGTCTCACTAGCATACAACAGGGTAGTTAGCACTGCTGCCTGGAAAACTTTAAGCTTGGTAGCAAGACTTATTCCACAGTGGTCCCATACATTAGTCCGCAATCTGCCAAATGCAGAACTTGCCTTGGCAATTCTACAGTTGACCTCGATGTCAATTGTCACTGCACGGGAGAGGGTACTACCAAGCTACGTAAATTGGTCCACTGCTTGCAGCTTTTGTCCCTTTACTGTGATGGTAGGCTCTTGATATTGGGCTTTTGAGCTGGCTGGTACGTCACTTCAGTTTTCTTTGTGTTGATGAAGAGGCCAAAGTTGTCACAAGTGGCTGTAAATTTGTCCATGCTGGCTTGCATTTCCTGCTCTGATCCTGCAGTAAGGGCACAGTCATCAGCAAAGAGGAGATCTGGTAGCACAGTCTCCTTTACCTTGGTGACAGCCTGAAGTCTTCTCAGGTTGAACAGTTTCCCATCAGTTCTGTACCTCAGATTAACTCCCACTGAGCTGTTCTGAAAGGCGTCTGACAGTATGGCTGAGAACATCACGCTGAACAGGGTTGGTGCCAGCATGCAGCCTTGCTTAATGCCATTAGTAACAGGGAAGGCCTCTGAGGCTCCACCATTACTCAGAACACGAGCCACCATGCCATCATGGAACTGTCGTACCATTAGAATAAACCTGTCAGGGCACCCAAACTTCGACGTAATGCACAATAGTCCTTCACGACTAACTGTGTCAAAAACCTTGGTGAGATCCACAAAGGTGGTGTATAGTTCACGATTCTGCTCCTGACATTTCTCCTGGAGCTGCCGAGCTGCAAATATCATGTCCACTGTGCCACGCTCTTTGCGGAAACCACACTGTGTCTCAGGTAGTATACCCTGTTCCAAATGGTCAATCAGGCAATTTAGCAACACTCGTGCAAAGATCTTGCCTGCAATGGAGAGAAGTGATATTCCTCTATAATTATCGCAGACTTGTCGATTTCATTTCCTCTTGTAGAGGTGCACAATGGATGCATCTTTCAGTTCCTGAGGAATGGAACCTTGTTTCCAGAAAGATCGAAACAACTGGGTAAGTTTTTCAACAAGTACAGCACCACCAGCCTTATAGACTTCCGCTGAGATTGCGTCAGATCCTGGCGCCTTACCACTGGAACATTGATTGATGGCCTGTGAGGTTTCAGCCTCTGATGGTAGGGCATCCAGGCTATAGTTCATATCTACCTGGGGTATCCTGTTAATTATCTCATTATTGATGGTGGATGGGCGGTTCAGCACAGAGTGGAAATGCTCGGCCCAACGCTGTAAAATCAGGGTCTTCTCAGTGATAAGACTTGCACCACTCGAATCCAGTAAAGGATGTGAAGTGACTTGCACCCAGATTCCTCTAGGTATATCTTTCCCAAATTCTGAGTTTTATTTCTTCCCTCTCTAATCTTTTGTACAACCTTCTCTCTCCTGGAGATCCTTGTGGACTCCATTGTATCTGCCAATGGTCCCTGAACTTTTCCCACAATTGATTAACATTCCATCCTGTTCCTTTGTTTCTGATTACTTTATCAATTGCAGATGAATACAGTCACACCCTTAGCACTTCAGTTAACTTATTTCTTTCTCCAAGTAAATCTCTTGATACTTTGCATCAGACTTACTTATTTCCCAGTGCTATTGCAACTTTCTGGATTACTTTTGTAGCAAAGTTTTCTTTTGTAATTTTCACAATCAGTTTCTAGACAGCCAAAGGAACAGCTGTATGTTGAAAAGATAATAACAATATGAATAATTCAAGCTTTGTTTCTACAAAACACTGTTCTCCAGTTCTGGGTGTCATGGGAAACTGTGTGGAGACATTTTTTTATGGAAGCACATATCTGTCACCTCATTCTTTAAAAATAAACAAGTACTATATATAAATCTTTGCAGCCAAGGATACTAGGAATGCTATACTTAACTTAGTCAATGAATCTCCAGAAAGATAGATCATTCTTTCCTCTCTGGCATTTTATTGAATTAGATGTAGGAATATAAAAATCTGCAGGAAATACACCTAAGTAACTTAGTGATCTGTATCATTTTCACAGCCTGTATTATTTGGCAAGTAACTAAGAGCATAGCTAAGGAAAGTTAGACTCTCCTGTCTAACTGTTCTTTGCAATAATACTTTCTGCTACAAACACAGTACTTTCATAGAGACAATTTTCCATTCTTTGCAAACTTCTGGCTCCAATACTTAGCATCTCTCTAATATGTTGAAATGATGACTAATAATAAAATGTAAAATAGGAGTCTACATAAGAATTAAAGTGCATAGTTCAATTATTTGTCATGCTCCACCCCCTCACAAAATCTTGGTTTCTTACATATATCCAAAGGATAAATGCTGACAACCTTCCCTTAAGCTCTCAGAACAAAGAAATATGTATATGTTACTTATGTCATGTTCCCATGCATATGTTACTTATGTAATGTTCACCATCCTTCTGGGAATTTTATAGTCATTATTTAGTATGCAGGACAAAGATTCCTGGCTTGATCTAAATCTTTTGGCCTTTAAAATGCATATATGGATTTGTTTGATTAATAGTGTGTGAATCATAAGTTTATATTTGTTATGTGGGTGTATTATTTGCAAAATTAATGTTCACCATAGAAAGAACTCCATAGATAGCAGCCACCTTAACTTAGATGTGAACTTGACTGACAGGTATGTTCAAATGCTTTTAAATGTTATTAAAAAGGCTTATGTTCATGTTAGTTGAACCAAAATTATTTGCTACACATATAAGTGTGCATGAGGACTCATTTAAAAGAACTGGTTTCATTCATAAAGCAAACAGGACATTCAGTTAGATTTAATACTTTCCTGAGATTTCTAAATTTTTGGACGGCATGAAAAAAACTAAAAACATACCCCTTCCTACTACTCCCTATCAGATTAAGCAATGCTATGCATAGTATAGAAAATGAGTAAGAAATGGTACCATTCACTATTTGATTTTGAATGTGTATTTATTCTATACACATGGAATAAATACGAAATAAGTACTGCTCCCATTCAGCCATCTAGAGGCTGACTAATATGTAATAGTCCACTGAATGGCAATACACTGGCAAAAATGAGTTGTTGTTTTTTATAAGATAATTATCTTCTTGGGATTTTTCAAGTAAAGAGCTATTTTTCCCCTTGTGGTGGAAGTTAGGTGAGAAGAGGGGAGGGAAGAGCAGAGGAGAGGAGTATGTTATCTGTATGGGTATCTGAAGTAGCAGAAACATAAGATTTTAAAAAAGCAAACCTAGATCTATGGTATCATAGGGAACTGAAAAATATCAAGGAGAGCCATTTGACAAAAGATAAAGCATGTGTCTCTCCCATAACTTAAACTAAACTGAAACTTTTCTATAGGCAATCTAAATAAATGCTGTTTTGAGAATTATTGTGAGAGACTGTCACAGTAGAGAAGAATCCAAGCGCTCAAGCATAATTGTAGTATTTTTAGTATATTCAGCTTACACTGTGCTACATGTCAAGATTAGGATACACAGCAATGTGCTGAGCAGAGCCCAGAGCTTCTAAAAATAAACCTCGCTTTATGCAATTGAAATTAAAACACAAGAGAAAGCTAGGTAAAGGGGGTGGTGGATTGCATAAGACTCTGATTCTTTCTTTACAGGTTTGGTCAGGGGAAAAAAGTTAACACTAAGAAAAGTTTCTCGTGCTTTGCAAGGCTAAAATAAAGGAGAAACCTAGAGCAGTCTTGAAGTAAAAATAGCATCTACATTTGTTGCAGAAATGATTGGCTTTAGCTTTCCAAATGCAAAACATGCCAGTCCCCTGTGTTTGGCACAGAGGCACGATAGTATGTGGGGAGGCTTTCATGCAAAACACATGTGTTTTCAATTGCTATCTGGAGCCAGACCAGTAGCTGTAACTTGGCCTGACAAAGCTTCATTGAAGTAAAAGACAGAGTGTGGTTTCAAAGCAGCTAGAGAAAGAAGGGGAATCTGTTCAGGAAATTCTTCGGGCTGGGCAGGGACTTGGCCACGGTTCTGCTGCTGGAAAATCTGACAGGGGCAGCTTCTGAACCCAGGGTAGGCCTGGCGCTCCTCTGAAAGCAACAGGGCACCTTCCCCTCTTGCCTTCTCTTTGGCATATCCCGGATTTTGTTTTGGGCTTTGGGCTTCCTGCCAGAAGAGGTAAGAGGCTTTTTGTTCTTTCTTAATACAGCTTTACTCGGCATTACTGCTCTTTTGTTTCACAAGATGAGGGACCCATCGGGGTGCTCACTTAATGGAGAAAGAAGTTGGAGCTCTACCACTACATTTGGAGAGGGATTGTCTGATTATCTTTCCAACTTCTACTGAAGTTCTTGCAGAGAGGGCGGGTGGGGGGGTGGCATTCTTTTTAAGTCGGCATGCATATTTGTCAAACCTTTCCCCCAGCAGTACATAATGCTGTTTTTAAAGTTTACACAGTGGTGTGTATGGATGAGCTAGAGAAAGTTGGACAGTTCTGCTTATTATATAGAATACGGGATCAGCTAGTATGTTTCAGAAATTGCTATCAGTGCAGCTACAATATTCAAATATAGCTACTTTACAAAGAGACCGTGAGGCAAAAGCTGAGTAGTTTGGAGCATTTTTAACTAAGCAGTACATTTGTAAATCAAAGACAATAATGCTACAATCCTATTTATTTTTCTGTGGTTACCCAGAATTGGGGCAAAATAATACAATTATTTATAATAGTATTGCAAGAAAGTTTCAGAGAAACTTTTTTTCCTCCAAGCCACTCCATTCAACACCACTGCTACTTTTCATTTCATGAGATGTTTTGCTAAATAAATATTTCCTGAACATATTAGTTTAAAAGTCGGGCTTCTCTCCTGCAAATAAAAAGGGAATATGTGTCTTGTTACCCCATGCTCTGGTTTTGGAGCATTAAAGTTTATTGCCTTTCCTCACCAGTGACCATTAAACCTTAGCTGCTATTTCTTTAAAAGTGGTTGCACAGCATGAAACAACTCTTTCATTTTTTGTTTGTCTAGGCTTAGACTACAGTAGCAGAAAAGTTTATTTTTCTTCTGCCCTGAGCATATCCCTTGCTCTAACTTGTCTTAAGAGGCAAAGCTGTATTAAAATAAAAAAAGCTGAATTAATAATATGTGGGCAGCAGAAGCCATATTTATGAATTAATTGGCAGCAGTTAAGTTGGGCTGTAGAACTATGTAACCTGTGCTGATATTAATACTGTAAGATATATGAGCAGAATGAAAATCCAGAATAGAGAGGTATAGGATAAGGGGTTTACAGTCAACTTTTAGACAGAATAGCAAAAATTACCATGGTACTAGATGAAGTTAAGAAATAAGTGGTCACTCTGGAATATAGTTTAAATCCTATTAAGCAATTATTATTAAGAAGTAGGTTAAAGGGAAATAATGTCTGTAGTAGATATAAATAAAGGCAGAATGTAGGTATATCTGATGGATTAATTTTAAATGAGAGGCATAGGGTCTAGATAATCAGACTATAAAATATATGGTGCTAGAGAAGACTCCTGAGAGTCCCCTGGACTGCGAGGCATTCAAACTGGTCAGTCCTACAAGAGATCAACCCCAACTGCTCTTTACAAGGCCAGATCCTGAAGTTGAAACTCAAGTACTTTGGCCACCTGATGAGAAGGAAGGACTCACTGGAGAAGAGTCTAATGCTGGGAAAGATTGAGGGCAATAGAAGAAGGGGACGACAGAGAATGAGGTGGCTGGATGGAGTCACTGAAGCAGTAGGAGTGAACTTAAATGGACTCCAGAAGATGGTAGAGGACAGGAAGGCCTGGAGGAACATTGTCCATGGGGCCATGATGGGTTGGACACGAGTTAGCAACTAACAACAAAATAAAATAAACTAAGCAAAATACATCAATCAAATCAAATGGAGGCAAAAGAATATCTATAGATTATGTAGAATTTATTTTTTTTCATGGTAAAGAAATTCAGATTTCAAGAAACCTGGCTGCTTTGATGGCTGGGCTGGATATTAAACAGGCCAAGAAATAACCCAAAATATAAGAAAAGAAAGCAATTTCAGGACAATGACTCTATATCTTTCTAGAAGGGTTTGCTAGTCCTAAATTTAATTCTATCATGCCAGATTAGACTTGTCCTGACTCTGCTGGTATGATTTTGCCTGGAGCCCTGGTTGTAGTATGTATGAGCCTGTTTCTTAGTCATAGTCATATTGAAGATGTGGTGTCATGAGTATTCTGCTACTGTTTAATGTTATTTATGTTGTTTCAAATTTTTGTTGGGTTTTTTATTACTCCTTTTTATTCCATTTTAATTATAGGTAGTCCTTAACTTACAACCACAATCGAGCCCCAAATTTATGTCACTAAGCGAGACAGTTGTTAAGTGAGTTTTGCCCCATTTTGTGACCAATCTTGCTATAGTTGTTAAATGAAACAGTGCAGTTGTTAAATTAGTAACACAGTTGTTAAGTGAATCTGGCTTTCCCATTGACTTTGCTTGTTAGAAGGTTGCAGAAGGGATCACATGACTGTAAGACACTGCAACCATTATAAATATGACCCAATGTCCAAATTTTGATCACGTGACCATGGGGATTCTGCAACGGTCCTAAGTGGGAAAAACGGTCATAAGTCACTTTTTTCAATTCCATTATACCTTTGAACGGTCACTAAATGAACTGTTGTAAGTTGAGGACTACTTGTATTAGTCACCCAAAATCATGTATATGAGATAGGCAGCCTTATAAATGTATTAAGCAGTTAAATAAATAAATATTTTCCCTTGGTTGTCTTTTCTGTAGGCTAAACTTATCCAGACTCTTATAGGATTTACTTTCCAGATTCCTTGCCATCTTGATAGTCCTCCGAACTCACTCTGGTTTGTCCTTTTTCAATTGTGGTGCCTCCCTCAAGTGGGATCTGAATAGAGAAGAGTAGAGTGGAACAAAAGCTTTCCAACATCTGGACTCTGTTCCACTTCCAACCTTATGAGTCTATGTGTGCAGAGCAAGGGGAGATGGCCATGGCTGAGATGAGAATTAATGTTCTGCTGGCCTCATTCCTAAAGAGGTATCTGGTGCCGTTTGGAGTCTTCCTAGCATTATATTACAGAACAGCGAACAACGTTTGTCACTGTATACATGGCAGAAAATCATACCCAGATCCATATCTATGATGTCACACTTACACTTGTCATAAACACGTTGGAGTGCACATTTGTGTTTACATATAAGAATGTAAAACATGAAAATACTTTTGTAGTGCATCAAATTCAAACATGCACATTTCTGTAGTGCACGTTAAAAACCAAAGGGGCAGAATCAAATTTAGTTTAATAACCTTAATTTTCTCTGTGAACAGACAGATCTCATGAATCAGAGGTATTGAACTACCCACAGTCAGTTTAACAATCAGTACACCCCATCTCACCCTATTTCTTTTTGGTGACCTCTGAAATGGTTTGTCACCAAACCTATTTTTATAGAACAATTTATAATGCTTTAAAGTCACTAAAAAGGTTGGGATTTTCTTTCTTTCTTTCTTTCTTTCTTTCTTTCTTTCTTTCTTTCTTTCTTTCTTTCTTTCTTTCTTTCTTTCTTTCTCTCCCCTCCTCCTCCTCCTGCTGCTTAAACAATAGATATACAGTATTTTGGATGTGACTCCACATGATATATACATATGAACTCTCCAGCACTTCCTTCTGAAAAACATCCTTCTATGGTTTGACTTCTTAATCCCTCCTCACTCCCTCGCTCCCTCTCTCCCTCTTTAGAGACATGCAAGGATATTCAGCAAATTTGGTGATAACTACAGTATTTCCAAAAGCAAATTGTATATTTTGTAGTTGTTTTTTTTGTTACTGTTGTTTTTAGCTTAAGAATCCCAGTTCTATCTACAGTAAGGAAAAAAATGATTTCAATATTATGGAACAGGAAATCAAAAAGAAAATAGAAGGTGATAAAAGAAGACCCAGAGAAATACTTTTTGAATTAAAAATAATAATTCTGAACTATAGAATCTGATGTTTCTTTCATTTCTGATATTTTTCAAATGTATTTAAATTATGGCAGAGATGAAATACAAACGTGAATATAAAGGTGAATACATTTGACTGTAGTCTGACTGTATATGTATTTTTTAAAATCAAAACTAAACAGTGCAGGGATGTCAAAATGTGTTATGAATTATGAAGTAGATAAAACTTCACTGACAATTAAGGTTATTTTTAGTACTGTATTTCAAATAATTAAACTGTTATGGAAACCTATACATACTTGGTGGTTGCTATTTGATACCAGAGGGACCTTCTTTAAATTCAGCAGAGCAGTTTTAAAACACCATGTGTTTTACTCCAAAATATCTTTCCAGAATAAAAAAAAAATACGAAGTGTAAATAAAATGCCCGTGAATAATTTTTAAACCAAGTGCCTTTTCATACAATATACCCAGAAGAGAAATCAAAACCAGTCAGAATATATGTTGTTTTCTTGCTGATTTCATTACAATCTGTCTTTTCAGGCAGCAAAAATACATAAAATTTGGAGCAACCCACTTAATATTATAATACAACTTTTAAAGGCATATTTTTAAACTTCACATTGCACTGTACTTTCCTGCAGTAAAATATTTCTGCATATGATCAAGAATGATGGGAAAACTCTTCTATATAGCACAACACATTTCTTTTATGATTTGGAATCTGCCTTATTATGTTGTAAAGGGTCTTATGTCTGCCTATAGCCGTTTTCATGAGAGGCTTTCCCATTAGAGGAAAAACAGAGTTTACTTATCTAGTCAAGATGGCCCATAAGCTGAATTTCACTCCCTTTGGAATTCAAGAATCTTATTTATGAAGCCTTATGTGCAGTTTAAAATATCTGTACGGTTAACTTCTTAAAATGAGAGAGGGAATTTTTCCAGTCCATTTGTTCTTGTCACATTTTTATCATTTTCATTTTGCATTAGCTTTTCATGCCCTACATCCCATCAAATTGTCATGTGATATTTCTGTAGGAGTAAACAAGATTCTTTCTGTGCCTATCACATTCTGATTACAACTCTAGGAGGAAAGTGGGAATCTCAACAACAACAAAAAATCTTGGTTTCCTTCCCACCCCCCAAATAATATAGATTCGGGTTTTTATTTGCTAAATAGTGGGGTATTATA